CAGGGAAGCAGATTCTCAGCAGTAGTTTGTAATTCCGTGCTGAGCGACAGCTTCGGTGCTTCTTGTTTAATGGCGCTCTGATTGGCGGCGGTGGCGTGGTCGACGTGTTTGCCGCGTTGAACCTCGTTCATGTCTGTTTTCCACTCAGACTCCCAGAAGTGCTTCCGTGCGCCGCTGTGACCTGCAGTCTGCGCGAGCTCGTCCTGTCGTCTCATTCAGGAAATATTTACTCGTTAAAGTTCAAGTGTGAAAATGTTGAACTTCCTGGTCTCACGCTGCCTGAAATGCCTCCGCTGAAGGTTTGTTTCCTTTTTCAGACCGCCGAACCCCATCGAGTACCTGGCTGCGTTCCTGCTGAAGAACAAATCCCAGTTTGAGGAGAGAAATTGAAGAGCCTCATTGGTCGAAGCTCGTTTCTGTTTGTTTTCTTTTTTTTAATTAAAAATAAAGGATGTGAAAAACATACTGTGCTCTGGGCTTTTATTCTGAAAGGCTGATTCTGCTCTGTGCTACTAGTGAAAAGTTCTTTCAAAGTTAAAGAGAAAAATTTGTTAAATGGGGTAAAAAAGATGAATAAAAACCTGAAACCTCATGAAGAGCGAGGAGGTGACGTAAGATCACAGCAGTGTGAGGAAAATGCTTTTAAGAATTTGTAACTTTAATTTGTACGTTTAAAAACAATTTTCAAATATGAGATTTGACTGTTCTGAGATTTAAATATGAATGTTCTGGATGTTTGAGGGGGAAATGGGTGCGAACATTTGTGTAATGAAGTTTCCAGACAAATAATCTGGAACTAAATGTAAGCTTTAAAAGACGAAGTCAGTTTGACAAGAAAAATAATTTTAATTGTAAGAATGAAAACACTGAATACATGACAGGAAACCAAAATCAGGAGCCAAACAAGGCTGAAAAAACAGATTATAATAAACTTTATTGCACAAAAACAAAGAACTGGAACATTTAAGACCCGCCCAGGTAGTGTTAAAGCTACAGCAGATTATTAAACATGGAATCATCCAGAAAGCAGGACACCTGCTCTGTACGGTGTCCCGTCAGGCCCAAAATTCAGTGTTTCTGTTTGCGTTCAGAAAACATATTAAAAAGAAAACGGCTAAAATAAATATATTAAAGTTATAATTAGTCAGTTAAAAAAGAGCAAATTTTGTTTTCAGTTTGAAAATCTGAGCAGTGCTGCCATAAACGCACAAAAACATCCAGCTGTATGCTTCCTGTCTGCACAGGAAGTGGGAAACTGTGTGAGAACACTGTGCACGCCATCGGCTCCTAACGAGACGTTCACAGTAACCACGAGCTCGTTCAGCTCAGGCTGCTCTGGACACCCAGTGTCTCTGTTTTTTTACACTCTGGAGCTGGATGATGTCACTGAGAGGGGAGAAACCCAACGCACTTGTTTACGAGAGCAGCCTGTCTGAAAAGAGCCAGCGTAAACACCGGCTCGTTTCAGACAGGCTGGCTGCACTGAGGTGCGGTGTCAGGTAAAGAAGGATGATTATGAACTGGGAATCATGCAAAGCTGCTGTGGGAGAATCAAAACACGGAGCTGGAAACGAGCGTTTCAGCTTTCATTAACAGCAGCCTAATTATGTCAACGTTACTGTTTCCAGCTGTGCTCACGGCTCAGACCCAC